AATTGTATGCCAAACTGAAAAATCTCCCAAGGAAAAGAACCTCCTCCTCCTGCCTTTCCTACCTCCTGCCCCTCCCCCACCAACATTGCCTCCCTGCTGTGCAAAGAGCCCTTTGTCCTGCCCCGCACTTATCTAGCTGTTTGGCCATATTGACAGGCCTACTGGAGGCATAATAAGGGAGTCAGTCTGACATAAGCAGCTGGCAATTTGAAACAAAAATCTTCCTTTTCTACTCAGACCAAATCCTGCTGCAGAGGTCTCTGGCTCCTCCCATGCTTCCATCTATTTCTCAAACAGAGCAGCAATAAATTCGGCATTTTTCCCTCCGTTAGGTATTACAAATCAAAAACTTGATTCCCTAGACAGAAACCTATTCTGCATACATTCCTATAGCTACCGATTTTTGTAATTCATAACATAGGCCAGAGTGTGTACACATAACTAACGTGGCTAAGGCAATGCTTCATATTACTTCAAATTGCCATGAAAGCTCTGGGAATCCTTATACCACAAGGAATCCAGAAGAGAAAGCAGCAGCCCAACCAAAGCAACAGATCTAAGCATCAGGCAAAACTGACATGTTGTAAAAATTTAGTGTTTTAAAAATACTAAGACATTATTCCAATAAGCAGAAAATTCTCATCTTCATATCAAACATACTTAATGTGACCTTACATTAAGTAAGGTATTCCCTCAGGTATTCAGCAAACAAAATCAATATCATGGAATAACCAACTGAGGCACGATGGGATTACAAATTCCTTGCTCAGTGAGGGCACATAAAAAGCAGACTGAGCTTACCTTCATTGTTTCTTTATTATATCCCATAGTTCCCTTCACTAAATGTTAAAGACTTTGAAGACATTTTGTTCCAGGGTAAGGGAATTCTCCAACGTAATGCTTTCTAACAGAATCTCCCCTTAAAGTTATTGGGTATCTTTTACCCAATTCATAATTAAAGATATAATAGGACAGTTTCATAAGACTGACTTAACAAAATGTACATAGATAAGTGAAGGAAACTATAGTCTCTCCACCTTTCACAAAGTTCTCAGAATTCCAACCACAAGAGAAATCAATCAGTTTACTACATATTTTGGAATTTTTGGCAGTAAGGAATAGTATCAACTCCTCTGCCCATCATAGGTGCATTATACTTGTTTTCTAAAGCGTGCCTTTGAAAGGACATTTTTAATTACAAATGACTACCAGTCATATTATCAAATACACATTATACATTTTGCAGTTTTATATTGGCCAAGAAGTTTCAGTTTTCAACACTTGAAATACAATTTTTATAAATAAAATTTACTTCTAGACCTTCTAATTTCAAATTAAAGTGATGAATCACAAGAGTTTATACAAAAAATATTTAAAAATTTTTATTTTAACATGATCCAGTTCCTCTCTGTTAAAATGTACCCAATAGTCATTGACTGCTGCCAACTATGGCCTAATGTTTCACAAGTCATTTCAATATGAAGAGGATAAAGCAAAAGTGATTATCTACAAATCTGTACTTTGCACTTTATTATGTCCCATTCAAAGGTAAAAATGAAAGTCATTCCCCCCAGAAAAGCCAGAATAATTTCAGAAAGTTCTTGAACACAAAAAAGTATCAAAAAATATAAAAAAGTTTTCAAGAGTATTACTTAAGTAAATCCTTTTATGAAAAAAGGGCCTGTATGATCCTTCAGAAAATGATTTTCTCAAGACCACAAAAGGTTCCAAACAACGGAAATTCGAGTGAAAAAGCAACTATTTTATATGGTAACGTAAGCCACATAGTAAAAAACTACAAACATTTCTATCTTAAACCCTAAATATATCAAACAGCCAGTACACATGAAGTCGTATTTATCTGATACTGCATCTTATCTATGTGATAGTAAAAAGAACTGGAACAACCGAAAATGGTATCCATTAAAGGTTCTGTTTCATTGGTCTGTTTTTATTACTGGGAAAACAATGTGAGCCACATTTGTGAATGACAAAACTCATTTCCATTCTTTCTGGTTCTCTGCCACAAATGCCAGAGTCATACTACAAATTATAGATGTTTGTGGGATTTAAGTACATTTACACGAAAATGAACAAATCAAAATTCTGAGAGGAAAAAAGTATAAGATAAGATACAAGTGTCTTGGGGGAGAAAAACAGCACACAGGCATGTATAATATTGCATATAATTGGTGGTGGTTCTCCTTCAAGTATTTCCATGCTTAGATTGTTTTGCTTAATCAGAGATCATCCTAATGTTCAGGAGTTGTGGGGGAGGGGAGATCACCTAAGGGGCTCAGAGGCCATCTTCTCAGTATCCTGAAGTAGACTTATTCGATTTCTGCATATTTCTTTTGGTCTGTCCTACTTTTCAGATGGATCACAGCCAAAAACACATCTTTGTGATGTCAGAAGGCTATATCCAACATGCCTATAATGAATCCATCTTACAAGTTAAACTCCAAATAAAATATTTAATCTGCAGTTTATTACTAATACACAAGAAGAAATATTTACTTAGAAACCACTACAAAATGGCAGCTGTTTTGAGTTTAAGAGTCCAAGTTTCGTAAAATGTTTAGCAAAACATCTATAAGATAAATATAGCCTAATCGACAGGAAGGATGCACATAACAAAAAAATCAAAATTGATTCAATGATTAAAGAGATGGAGGAAAACATGATAAGTCAGTTGCAGGAAAAAAATTCCTGTTACTTTCTTCCCATTGTGGTTATCAGAAGGGTCCTTAAAATTATTACTTTGGTTTTCAAACTGATTCAAAAATTAAAACTCTAATGGAACTTTCAGTCCTATCCAAGCAAAAATCTCTAGATAAAAAACAAAAGTCTGCCAAAACCAAACAAACAAAAAAAGAAAGTCTTTAACTATGCTCCAGTTTCCAGATGCCAATAGCCATAAATGGGCAGGTTATGAATTGCTAATTCCCATCTCCCCACCAAATAAAAAGCAAACCAGCTCATCAGTGAAAATTCCCAGGAAAGCAAGGTTTCTTAGTCCTGAAGCAGCCATCGCCTAAGTGCTGCTCCCTGCAGCCAGCAGCATTAATGGACGCTGCACTGCTGTCCTTCCCTGGAGACAGCAGCCAGCACTACTCAAGCTTCTCACGTAGCAACCAGAGCTCCAGAGCCAGCAGCTGCTGCTGCCTTGTATACTCACCCCTGTGATCCAACCCAAAGGAACAACCTTCTCTTTACCCCACCCCCACTCCTTACACACACTTTTTTTCTTTTTGGACCAGTGCTCCAAGCCAGAAGGGCTGGAATTATGCTTTTAGAAAGAAACAATCCTAAGGTCACCCTTTTAAGCCAAGGCCTTTTATCAGAAAAACCAACATTTGCCGAATTCTAAATATCCATTTTAATTAAGCCAGCAGTTTAGGAGTGAAGATTAAGCTTCGGTCTTTTGAAAGCCAATTTTCCAAGCACTCTACAGTCGAATTTAAATTTGCAGCTAGAAACACAGCCTTGTGTCATGTCCTACCAAAGGGCATAATTCATTTTTCTACACATGACAGTATGAGTGAACCTTAAAGACTCCAATCCCATAACAGGCCCGAATTTTTGGCTACAGAAGAGAACTAATGATCCTGAGAAAACTGGAAGAAATCCAATAGAAAAAAAATGCCCTGTGTCCTCCAAGGAGCCCAGAAACCTCTGATTATGTGAGTATTCTCTGCTTTAGTCCTACCTCAGATTCCACACATCTAAAATTACCACTTAGAACTTTCTCTGTGACCTAAAAACGCTAAATAAAATTAACAACCAAAAAATAATTTCAAATAGGGAGTACACACTCTCCTGAAAAGCTAAGCACACTCCACTCAGCTGGATCCCCAATCACAAGTATAGCTATGTAACATCTGCCCAACAAAGAAATGTAAATATGACCTTGGTCACAAATATGTCATCTAAAAACAACTTGTTTAGTCAAGTGATGAAAGGAATTAGCAGAGAGCTTGGGAATTCGTTCAAGTACCTATGTGCACGAAGAAAATTGGAGAAATGGCTTAAATATAGACAAAGCCCAGTGGAACCCAAAGTTCTGGGCAAGAAATGAGTTACTGGTGAATACATTGCAGAAGTAACATGAGAAAGCAGAAAATGCAGGTCATACACGCACCCCTTACCCAGACCAGCAAAGCTGGCTGCAGCATCCGTATCCAACAGAAAGACCACTGACGCCCAAGAAGTGAGACAAGCAAGGGCTCTACAGAATCAATTAGCATAGAAGGGGCTTTCCCAACAGTTAAACTTTCCCTCTCACGCGATTCACCTACTTGAACCAGGGCTCTTTCCCACCCTCCTCTTCACATCCCCGACTAACACGCAGAGGAAAAAGAAAATTCATAAAGGGTAAAATTTTCTGCCTTTGAAGATATTCTCACAAGATCGCTCTCCACGCCCAAGGCAAGTAAAACGACACAATCTGGCTCAACTCCAGGCTCGAACCCTACACATTCAATGAGGCTATCTCAGACACGCTGGGGCACACGCCACGGGAAGCCAGAGAACGCGAGGTGGGGGTGGCGAAGGTAATGCCTTTGGGAAGCGGCCATCTGAGGTGGGAAGCCAGAACACGAGAGGGAAGGCGTCCAGGAAGATTACGGTGGGGAGGATCGCGGCCCCCAGAGCTATCAGAGTTGTCTGTCACAAGGCCGCGAGAACGGGGGTGGGGAGTCGGGGGATCCGGTAGAGGAAAAAAAAGTATGCCTGTGTATTTCGAGCGGAGGGCAGCAAGAGGCCTCTCCTAAAGGGAAAGGTAAACGTGGAGTAGGCAGTTCCCAAGAAAGGGGGTGAAGAGGCGTGGGGGGAGGGGAAGCGTCCTGACCCAGGAAAGACATGAAAAAGGGAATGGGGTCGCCTAGATTAGAAGGGGCCTCTCTCCCCAGGAAAAAGGGGTGCAACGGTGTGTGCGCGGCAACGAAGGGGATGAGAAGGGGCAGCATCCTCCTGCTAAGAGCTTGGGGAGGGCCAGGCCCATGACCCAAGGAGAGCAAGCGCGGGGAGACGGAGGTGGTGACCCTTCCCTCCCCTGGGGCCCGATCGTGAGGGTCGGTCTCTTTTCTTTCGGACCCTTACCTTGTCCCAGGCGCTGCCGGGGCCTGGGCCCGGGCCCGGGCTGCGGCGCACGGCACTCCCGGGAGGCGGCAGGACTCGAGTTAGGCCCAACGCGGCGCCACGGCGTTTCCTGGCCGGGAATGGCCCGTACCCGTGAGGTGGGGGTGGGGGGCAGAAAGGCGGAGCGAACCAAAGGCGGGGAGGGGGGAGGGCCAGGGAAAGAGGAGGGCCGGCACTACTGTGTTGGCGGACTGGCGGGACTGGGGCTGCGTGAGTCTCTGAGCGCAGGCGGGCGGCGGCCGCCCCTCCCCCGGCAGCGGCGGCGGCGGCGGCGGCGGCAGCTCACTCAGCCCGCTGCCCGAGCGGAAACGCCACTGACCGCACGGGGATTCCCAGCGCCGGCGCCAGGGGCACCCGGGACACGCCCCCTCCCGCCGCGCCATTGGCCTCTCCGCCCACCGCCTCTCACCCATTGGTCCGCTCGCCGCCAATCAGGGGAAGCCGTCGGGGCCGCCTAGAGAAGAGGCTGTGCTCTGGGGCTCCGGCTCCTCAGAGAGCCTCGGCTAGGTAGGGGAGCGGAACTCTGGTGGGAGGGGAGGTGCGGTGGACTGGGGGGATGGGTGGCTGGTGTGACCGACTGGTGGCTTGCGGGGGTTGCCTTTCCCCCGGGAACATAATGTTTGGGAACATAAACGCTGGGAGAGAGTGGTGGTTGGATGCGGGTGGGAGGGAGGCCCGCCCTGCGGCAACCGGAGGGGGAGGGAGAAGGGAGCGGAACATGCTCAAAACCGGACGGAGCCATTGCTCTCGCGGAGGGAGGAGCGCTTCCGGCTTGCCTCTTGTCGCTGATTGGCCGCTTCTCCTCCCGCCGTGTGTGAAAACACAAATGGCGTATTCTGGTTGGAGTAAAGCGCCTGTCAGTTAACAGCGTCGGGAGTGCGCAGCCGCCTAGCGACCCTCGTGTTGCCCCCTGGGTGGGGCGGGTAGGTAGGTGGGGTGGGGAGACGCTGGGTGTGCGGGCGCGGCCGGCTTCCCGCGGCGGGAGGGGAGGGTCAGTGAAAGTGGCTCCGGCGTGGGCGTCCTCTCTCACCCTCCCCTTCCTTCGGGGGAGTCGGTTTACCCGCCGCCTGCTTCTCCTTCGACACCTGATTGGATGCCGAAGCTGGGGGACCGGGCTCATGCTACTGGCTCGAGTCCCACATGAGCGAAACCACTGCGCGGGGCGCGGGGGTGGCGGGGAGGCGGGCATTGGTACGGTCCTCCACGAGGCCCAGCGCCGCAGTGTCTGGCCCCGCGCCCCTGCGCAACGTGGCAGGAAGCGCGCGCTGGAGGCGGGGGCGGGCTGCCGGCCGAGACTTATGGATGGCGGCGGCGGCGGCCGCGGTTCCGCCCCTGGTCCCCGCTGCCTGAAGGGCGAGACAAGCCCGACTTGCTACGGGCACTCGTGGGGGTGGGGGAGGAGCGGGGGGGTCGGTCCGGCCAGTTTGTAGGTGGGAGGTGCATGTTCTCCAAATACCGGCGCGAGCTGCAATCCTGAGGGAGCTGCGGTGGAGGAGGCGGAGAGAAGGCCGCACCCTTCTGGGCAGGGGGTGGGGAGTGCCGCAATACCTTTATGGGAGTTCTCTGCTGCCTCCGGTCTTCTAAGGACCGCCCTGGGCCTGGAAGAATCCCTCCCTCCGCTCTCTCAGCCCCCCTTGATCTCGTCATCGCCTCCATGTCGAGTCGCTTCTCGATTATGGGCGGGATTCTTTTGCCTAGGCTTGAAGGGGCTAGCTTGGTACCTGGGCGTTGCCCTGCAACGGAGTGAGCAGGTGTTAAGATTTGAGGGGCGAGTCGGATTATCTTCCCACGGACTTGAGTTGGTGTGGAGGTGGTTGTAATAAGGGTGGGGTAGGGAAATGGAGCCTAGGCATTCACCTGGGGCTGATTTTATGCAACGAGACTGCAGGTTATCACTAAGATCGTTTTTTGGAGCATTTTTCTAGAAATAGAGATAAATTAAGGCATAATCACCTGAGTTTTACGCCATTTGCGACCCTTGCTGCACCACCAAAGTATAGCATCTGATTAAATCGTAACGGAAAAATTTTAGCCTTTGCTTCAGAAACCAGTGCTTCCCTCTCTCCACCTCTCTCCCCAGGCTCTCCCCTCTGCATTCCTACCAGGCATCTTAGGAACTCTCACTCATAACGTTGATCCCATTTTCCATTTGTTGTACTTGCTTATCCAGTATTCAGACATATCGCTGGCTTTCTCTCTCTCTTGATCTTGGGTAGCCTGGTGATTCATGAAACCAGACAGATTGGTTCCACCACAAATTAAAGCTTGAGCTGGGGCTTGACTCTTACCCATCAGCGCTTTTATTCCTCCCTTGTTCACGTTCTTGAATGTTTACCTTGGTTTTAATTTTATCCTTTTTCCTTTGTTGGGATTCTATCCCGACCCTCTTCGCAGTCCAGGTGGTCTTGACTACTGCTTTACAGAGAATTGGACCTGAGGTTAGGTAGCATCTCCCTTTCTCTTCCTCTAAATACCTCTGGAGCCATCCCTTCATTTCTGGTCTCATCAGTTAGTAACTAACCTCAGATGCCAGTATGATAGCTTCCAGATTGCTGGCTCTGTTTAGTGTTATCTTCTGATCCATCTTATATCTTGTCAGGAAGATTGTCGTGAAGGAAGATAGAGCATGAAAATGACAGATGAATCTCCATTAGTGGTTTGTATTGTAATGGAGTAAACTCCTTTACTTGCTTGTATATTTCAACATTCCTTGTAAAAGAAAAACCTGAAGTTTACAGCAAATTGTCCAAGCCGCGGGCCGCATGGGACCCAGGACGGCTTTGAATGCGGCCCAACAGAAATTCGTAAACACTTAAAATGTTAGGAGATTTTTTTGAGGGTGTTTTGTTTTTTTTTTTTGAGGGGGGCTCATCAGCCATCCTTTATGTGTGGCCCAGGGAAGCCAAAAGATTGGACACCCCTGGTTTATAGGATGAATTCTGCCCTTGTGATTGTGATGCACAAGGTCCTTGGATAGACTTAATTTAACCTTTTTCATTTTTCACCGTTTTCCACGTATTACACAAACATTATCTCTCTCTTGAAGTCACATGGAATACACTGCAGTTACCCAAATCATAGAGGCATTGACAGTGGAGTGGTTCTTTCTGGAATGCTACCCTTGCTGCTTCTAATCCTGCAGATTCAGGTGTCATCCCCTCTCTCATTTGGTCATGCCTTTCATGGTCTGTTGTCCTATGAGCCAAACTCCCCTATTAAAAAAGCAGTTTTCTCCTGACTTCTGAGCAGTTTGTACTGCATGACTCATAGTACTTCTCAGGTTGTTGTCATTGTTGATTTAAATTAACTATTCTGAGCTTTATGAGGGGACAGTTTCTTGTATCTTGTACTCCTGAGCTCCTGGTATACTCTAATGTCTAGCCAACCCTAAGTAAATGGAGTGAGCGACGTGTAAATGTCTTTATGGTTTGACATTTTATTCATCTTGAGCATTGTAAAAGTGGCTGGTAGGAATAAAGAACTGAATTTTTATTTTTTATCTAATTTAAATTGCAACTATGGACAGTGTTGCTGTAGCCACAGACTTGTTCTGTGGATTACAGGATACATGGACATTGATTGCTTTCTCTTTGTACTGAGCAGTAAGGAAATAAAACCTGAAGCTCTTTGGCCCTTTAAATTTTATTTAACTGCTTGTTTTATTTTACTTTTTATGTATTTAGCTGAAAGCTAAATCCAACCATTTTTAAAGATGTGCCTGCCTTGGACAACAATGTGTTGAGAAACCAAGTGTTAATGAGTTTGGATTTCAAAAAAAAAAAAGCATAATGAATTTTAGGGAGGTGAGATTCTATTAAACTGTTACAGGAGTTACATAATTAAATATAACAACTTTAATTAGAAATAGTTCTCTCTGATATAAATGAACCCAGCTCTAAATTTCAGTCCTATACCTTTGGAGGAGCCCTATGCATCATGTCTTCAGTTGTAGAAAACAGTAACTAAGTTTTATCCTGAGGAATTATAAATACCAAGATTTTAACACCAAATGCTTTTTATGTGCTAATACAGTATCTTACACATTTTAATTATTTATTTATTTATTTTTGAGATGGAGTCTTACCCTGTCACCCAGTCTGGCGTGCAATGGCATGATCATGACTCACGCAGCCTTGACTTCTTGGGCTCAAGTGATCCTCCTGCCTCAGTCTCCTGAGTAGCTGGGACTACAGGCACATGCTTCCATGCCCAGTTTTTGTGTGTTTTTTTGTAGAGATGGAGTTTTCCTGTGCTGCACAGGTTGGAACTCCAGGGCTTAAGTTATCTTCCTGCCTAAGTCTCCCAAAGTCCTGGGATTACAGGTGTGAGTCACTGCTCTGGGCCATTGAATATCCTTTTAAAAATACATTTTAATTTAAAGTTTTTCTTTAGAAAATAAGACCCTTGGGTCAGTGGTCTTCAAACCTCCTGTGTGCAGAGACAGTTGCCTTACTTAATGCAGATTCCCAGACCACCGAAGATGCTGAATTCTTCTGGGGAAGGTGGAACCCCACAGGGCAGGCAGTATAATTCGGTATCTTTTCAAGTTCATTTGCTTACTCAGATAGAACCCCAGGGCTATAGTATCCTATTTACGTGCCAAAAATGATTAAAATTTCAGAGAAATTCTTCTCAATTGTACAGTATGTGTCCCTCAATTTTTTTTTCTCAAATGAACTGTTTTTTCCTCCCCCTAAAAAATAACAGAATGGGGAAACATTTTGAAAGGCAAAGAGGAATAGTAATACTTTTGGAAACTTGCAGGTCAGTTTTTTTTTGTTTGTTTTAACAAGGAATGTTGAAATATATTTTCGAACAAGAGAAGTTCACCTTATTTTTTGTTTCTCCTACTTAATTGCAGTCCTTAAGGAAAGCGATTTTTCACTCCTCAGTACCTAAGCACAGAGCTGGGAGCTCAAAAAATGTTAGTTTTGTTGGTTTATATGTGAAATTGATTCTCAAGTAATAGTTAAGCTCAGAAAACATAACAACAAGGCTCCTTTTTGGGAGAGACTTCAGGGTCACATTTAACCTATGTCAAGTCTCCTAATATTCTATTCATAGAGGAAACTGATGCCCCCTGGTCTCTGAATACATCTATCCCATCATTCACTTCTTTGGGTTTCCTGTACTAACCATTGCAATTAGCCTCTTCCTGTGCTTTACTTCCTTGAGCTTTTTGTTTAAATTAATCAGCTACCTAGCTCCTTTTCAAGTAGTTACATACTACTTCCTACACTTATAAGACAAATTTATTAGGTATATTACACACTTGTACTTGCATGAGAAAGCTGTTGAAGGTTTTTGGAGGGCTAGTGTGTATGTGTTAGATTTGCAAAAGTTAAACTAGTTAGGTTACTTCCATCTATTTTTTGTGAATGGGGGTTTGGTGTAATTATATAATTCTGTTTTGCAACACTAGTTTGACTGTTAAGTTAGTTGTAGAGCACCTTGTTAGGTCCCAAATCCAGAAGTCTGGTGGCATTGGACTTTGCAGGTTGCTAACTTAGTGGCATACTAATTTATATTAGAGGGCATACTTCTCAAGAAGACTTTTTTCCTTGTCCATGACTCTCTGTTCTTGAGATTAGATAATATATTGGATTACTAGAGAATTGTTAGTGAGCAGTGAATCAACTAGTTTTGTTTTATCTAGACCAGGGTTAAACCTAATGAATTCTTTCTGTTCTGTTATGGAGTGTACTTTCTTAGTGACAAGAAAGACTTCCTGCCTCTGATTTTTATCTCAGTCATGGTTACATTCAATAATCCTGCTTTCCAGCGTGTTTCCTAGAGCTCAGTCATCAGTCACCTTTCGTTTTCTGGTTTGGTTTTTTTTTTTTTTTTTCTTTTTCAAACTTATGTAACATTGGCTTTTCCTACTAACATAGTATCAAATCATGTTTACAGAATTGGTTATTTCATCACCTAACTTATCTCACCTCTAGTTTATGGATTCTGGTAAACTCAGTCAACAGTCTTTACAGCCTTTTCTCTTTTTACTGACCTTGATTTAAAATTGAATTTCAGACGGAAGTATTACCTACTATAACAAATAATGGTAACATACTCTAGTGAATACTATAGGCAAAAGCTAATGGAAACATGGGTAGAAGAAATAAACTAATAATAGTTATTGAATGCCTTTTGTGCACAAGACGGCTGTAACTGCAGGTGTGGTGGAAGTAGCAAGAGAACTAGAAGTAGAGGGTTGAAGAAGTGACTGAGTTGCTGCAATCTCATGATCAAGTTTGAATGGATGAGGAGTTGCTTTTTAGGGATGAGCAAAGAAAGTGGTTTCCTGATATGGAATCTACTGGTGAAGTTGCTGTGAACATTTTTAAAATGACAACAAACGATTTCGGATATAACAGAAACCTAGTTGATAAAGCAATGCCAGGGTGTGAGAGAGTTGACAATTTTTAAGTAAGTTCTACTGGCTGGGTGTGGTGGTTCACACCTGTAATCCTAGCACTTTGGGAGACTGAGGCAGGTGAATGGATCACTTGAGGTCAGGAGTTCAAGACCAGCCTGACCAACGTGGTGAAACCCCGTCTTTACCAAAATTAGCCAGGTGTGATAGTGCACTCCTGTAGTCCTACCTACTTGGGAGGCTGAAGCAGGAGAATCTCTTGAACCCGAGGCATAGGTTGCAGTGAGCCAAGATGGTGCCACTGCACTCCAGCCTGAGGGACAGAGACCTTGTCTCAAACAGAAAAAAAAAAAGTTTTTCTGTGGGTAAAATGCTATCATGCTATCAAACAGATGAAGTCTTGTGAAAGGAAGTCAGTGTAGCAAACTTCATTGTCTTAAGAAATTGCCACAACCATCCCAATCTTCAACAAGCACCACCCTAATGAGTCAGTAGCCATCATTAACATTGATGCAGGACCCTCCAGCAGCAAAAAGATTGTTAGCATTTTTTAGCAGTGGAGTATTTATTAATTACACATAATACTATTGTTTACTTTTAAAACTATGGTATAGTATAACCATAACTTACACGATGCATTGGGAAACCAACAAATTCATGAGACTTGCTTTATTTTGTGCTCTGGGATTGAGCCTGCAGTGTTTCTGAGGTACCTGTATATTTAGTATGTTCCTCGTATATAAAACCCCATTTTACAGAGTAGGAAACTAAAGCTCAGAGTTTGAGCAATTTTCCCATAGATAACACCAGTAAATTGAGGGCTAGGGATTCAAACTCAGGTGTGAGTGGTGATTTGTATTCTTAACTAGCTTGTATACCTTTATCTGATGGAAACGTTCTTTTAGGGAGTTTAATCTGGCTGTAGGATATCGGGTGGGTTGTAGGGATGGAGAGATTTAAAAGCAGAGAGACCACTTAGGTGGTTGGTACTCTTACAGTAGTGTAGACATGAGATAATGAAATTTGGCTTAACAGTAACAATAGAAGGAAGTTAAAGGATTTAGGAACCAAATGTCAGTTATTGAGTAGAGAGAATGGTCTCAAAACATAACTTCACAAGGAAGCCATCCTTGATACTCTCACTCCTACTATACTGTATCTTCCATTTGAATGTTGTCAAAAGCTCTTCTCACAATTGTAAATAATAATTGTAATTTTGTTTTTTTCCCTACTTTAGGTTGCTCCTTGACAGCAGGACAATGCTTATGGCTTTATCCGTTGCCTAAGCTCAGAGAGGTCTTCGAGGTCAAAACTATTTTCATGATAGCAAGATGCTTCCCTTTTTCACTCATTCTCTCAGTGTGATGACATCCTCATTGATGTTAATGAATGGTGCTATACTTGAATTTTCTAAGGTGTGCTTAGGTAGGTTTAGGTATGCATACTTTTTAGAAATTAGTTTTTTCCCCTTTTCTCATTTTTAGAAATAACTCACTAGATTATGCCTTCAGTAATCCTTGCAACCTCAATATTGTGCAATTGTTATTTTAAAATACTATAGTCTTCGTGCCTAAGCATGAACATAAGAAGTACATTTTGTTGTGTTGTTTGCAGTAGTTTAAATATTTTCCCAAAATTAAAAATTTTACTTTAGAATTTAATAACTTTATTCTAAAATAAATCTATTTTTCTCATTTAAGAATGGATCATTGGCTTAAAAAGACTGCTTCTTATCTACTTCTCGGCTATACCATCTGTATACTAAATACTAGAAAAACAAGATCGATTTGGAAAGACTAACAAAAAACTAATAGAAATATGAAACCTATCTTTCTGCTTTGGAGATATTTACCTTACCATATCTGCAGTAGAATAATTTTGTTCTTTTGTCTTTCTGGAGATTGAGGTTTTGCTATGTTGTCCAGGCTGTAGTGCAGTGGCTATTCACAGGTGCCATCATAGTGAACTACATCCTGAAACTCTTGGGCTCAAGCGATCCTCCTGTCTCAGCCTCCTGAGTAGCTGGAACTGTAGGCATGCACCACCAAGCCTGGGCTTTTAAAAAATTTTTAAAAAACAATTTTTTAGACAGGGTCTTGCCATCTGGTTCAGGCTAGTCTTCAAGTCCTAGCCGTGAGTGGTCCTCTTGCTTTGGGCCTCCCAAAATGTTGGGTTAACAGGTGTGAGCCACCGTACCCAGGCAAAAATTTTTTTAGAGATAGGAATGGAATGATTTTTAAATAGTGTTGGTGCCACCTGTGTTGTGGCATCATTTTGAAACCAATCCTTCAGATGGCTTTTTTTTGGTAAGGTACTATTTTTTTTCTTCTTCTTCAAATAGTTTACCTTTTTTTTTTTTTAATTGCATTTTAGGTGGTACTGAGTATTTTTTAATACAGGTATGCTGCTACTGAAAAGAAAAACCATGTTTGAAGCTAGAAATGTTCGAACAAGTTACCTAAGTAACTTAAAGGATAAGTTACTTTGTAATACTATAGAAACATACACAATAGCTGAAAAACTTTAAGTCTCACATGGCTGTCTCTGCTAGATAAAGTGTAAGTAAAAGATCACAGTAGTGCTACTGTTGAGTGATACAGCAATTTGTCATTAAAGATGTGTGTGCAGACATGGATTCTGAGTTAATATCTATAGAAGTATACATTTGTCCCTTGCCGGCTATTTGCCAAGAACACCAAAACCCTTACATAAAATGGCACTGTGTTTGCATACAACTTAACACATCTTCCCATATACTTTAAATCATTTCCAGATTTTTTATACTTTATACAGTGTAAATGCTGTGTAAATAGTTGCATTGCGTATTTATATTTGTATTGTTATATTTTTTTCTCAAATATTTTCAAGCACATTTGGTTCAATCTGCAGATGGAGAACCTGAGGCTATGGACTGACTGTGTCTATACTTTATAAATGGATGTGTGTGTGAACGTGGCTGGACTTGTTATTTGGCTTGTATTTGCCAGGCATCAGCATCAACTAAAGATACTCTTATGTGAAAGCTTGGCAAGAAACACATGTCCTGAAATAACGTGAGTGTGGAATAACTTTTTAAAATCTCATGGTGTATCCTAAACTATATGTTGACATTTGTAAGAATGGTGATAAGGCAACAGTAGGTAAAACTTCAGGCACCTTGGCAGAAACTGAGGCGGCACCAAAGTATAAGATACCCTTCACTGCCATGCAATTGTGGTGTGGACCCCCACAAAAGAAAAAAAGAAGTTGCACTCATGAAACATCCTTGTGAAAGCAGTGACATTTTGTTAAATTTAGACCTTTGAGTAGCTAACTTTTTGAAATGGTTATGGAAGCTGAATTATCTGCTATTTCCTTGGAGTCTAACAACTGGCAGCAATTGTTTTCAATAATAAAATCCGAACTCTGAGTCAAAAATCAGAATTTTGGGAAAACTTGTGCCAATTATCAGGAACTTGACAGCTTCCCAATACTTAATGAGATAGTGATATTGAATGTGATATGTATTTTTTTGAGGCAGAGTCTTGCTCTGTCACCCAGGCTGGAGTGCAGTGGCGTGATCTAGGCTCACTGCAACCTCTGCCTCATGGGTTCAGGCAGTTCTCCTACCTCAGCCTCTCGTGTAGCTGGGACTACAGGGACACACCGGCATGCTTGGCTAATTTTTGTATTTTTAATAGAGACAGGGTTTCACCATGTTGGCCAGGGTGGTCTTCAACTCCTGACCTCAGGTGATCTGTCTACCTCAGCCTCCCAAAGTGCCAGGATTACAGGTGTGAGCCACCGTGCCAGGCCCACCTAATTATTTTTTCAAAAATACAACACTAAAATATTAATGCATTTGTAACTAATATTTAAAGTTTCTAACATGGTAAAAAAGTGATCTGGGGCCCTGAGTTTTTTAGAATGTGAAGAATTCTCTGAGGCCACAAAGTTTAAGAAATGACTACTGTAGCACAACACACATATAAATAAGTACCTGTTGAATTACCCCATGGAGTTAAAGTGACTCTTGGTAGTAAACCTGAATGGCTGGGATAATGGGCATGCTAGGACAGGAAGCAGATTTCCTCAACTTCACCATTGTAAATCATTAACAAACATGTTCGCCTAGGACAAAAAGAATTAAGGGGAGATAGGGAAGCCCTTCATAAGCAAGGTGATACTTTTTGCTATCTTTTTTCTATGCCTATCTTATTAATGAATATGAAGGACTTACAGGCTTTAACGTACTTGAGGGTCCAAAGATATTTCCAAATCTTTCCTTTTTCAGTCTTCAACTTAACCTAAGTCCTATCTGACATTGGGCCTACAGTTACAGCAGGATTTCCTAAACTCCCATTTTTTAAAGAAATAAGGGTAAACAAATGTTCACCTTATAAGCACTCTGGTACAATCCAGTATTGGGAGGTAACTATCTTCCCCAATTAGATTTGTAAAATATTTCTCAATGTTTACATTTTTCCCCCTTGAATATA